TGGGCCGGCCGCGGGTTTTTTTTACCTGTCTCCTTTTCTCCTTCAGCCCGGGCGCCGGAGGTTCGCAGCCCGGCCCGGCCCGCGCCCAGGTCTCGCCTGGGAAAGAAAATCCGCTCTTAACCCCTGCCGTACTATTACTGTCTGGACGCTCGGTTTTTGTTGTTAGAACGCCTTGAGCACCCTCACCGTGCTAGCGGCTCTCGTGTAGAGAAAGCCCTCTTCTCCCCACTCCCCGGGAGGCCAGTGGAGCAAATGTTTTACAACCAGCCAGCCCCAACCAGCCCTTGTGGTTGCGTTTAGTACCAGGAAGTCAGGAGACCCATTGCTAAATGTAGTTCTGTCTGGGAAATCCAGTGGAGAGCCGTTTTAAAAGGCCGAGTCACAGGATCTGAAATGAACATTTGAGTATTTGGAAAAGGAAGGCGTTAAATCCCTTTGGACTGACTTTTAATGTAAAGGTGTAACCCTTCAATCTGTAAATAGCCCCACCTAGTACGTACACTTTCGTTGGATTAATTTGTTAATGGAAGGTCTTTTTAACCCCAGTAAACTACTTTATGTAATAGTTAATGAGAGTCCTGCTTAAGTTGGACTGAACATTTAACAAATGGAAAAGTTTCTTAAGGGGAGACCCAAAAGATTACAGCCGTGCCTACAAGGTGCAAAACTTGCTTAGGTTCTTTGGATTAGAATGAAGAAACAGTCACTTGTGAGAAAATGGAATTCTTAATAGCAAAATGATGTGCTTGTATGTGGAAACAGAAAAAAGGTTGCGCTTGGTCTTGGGACAACGAATTCTGCCTCTTTATGGATGTTCTGTACTGATCTACTTTATTTCAAAACAGTTAACAGCAAGTGAATCAAGACCACCTCCCCTCACACCTCGTAATGAAACAGAGCCGAGAAACATTGCCTAACCGCTGCTTTATCTATCTGGTAGATAAATTCGCAGGCGAACACAGATGAGCAGTGAAAACTCCTCCGCCTTTGTGCTCCCGTAAGGACTTTCAGTAGGGAGTTGATAAAGGAGAGTATTCTGTAATGTCATTTACCTGTTCTCTGTCCTATGCTGCCAGCGTCCACGCTAGCGTAAAATTACAAATAGGAAGGGCATGTTTCATTTTCTTCATCTTTTTAATACATGGGACAATACTTGGCTTTAATTAGCTACATGAATTACTTGTTTTAAAGTAATTTTTGCTATGAAAATACACATTAATGTTTCCTGAAATTGGGCTATCTTTTAAAAAATAATTTGAATCAAAGAACTACTGGTGTCTTTACTGTGATTTGATCACAACTGACACAGGTTAAGGTTAAATGAGACAGTTTCTTGAGACTTGGAGATTAGTGTGAGAATAAAGGATGCATTGTTTTTTTTAATTATCTATTAAAATGATAATTTACATTTAGCAGTATTATCATGAAATTCTTTAGAAGCTTACTAAAGAAGGGACTATGGATAGGCTGTCAGAGTTCTAGTTAATAATTGTTTAATGCACTGATTACAGGTTTTAAGTTTTCTTTAAGGAAGAATTGGTGTATTTGCTTGGGCTTCTTTTGTTAGAGGCAGGCCATTCAAAGCAGAGGGCAGTTGCCACCCTTGCTGTAGGTTATGAGCTCCTAAGAACCTAGCAAACAGAAAAGACGTAGTTGCTGAAAGTTGGAAGTAAAGAGTTTATCTTTATTTTTATGTAAGTTCCCAGATTTGTACTTACAGTAGTTTTAGTGATGTTGGGGATAGGATGACTGGGGCCTAGGTAGGACAGTGATACTGTCTGATGAATTTGTAACAATTTTGTTACACAGACCTCTGGAGAGACTAGAACCTTAATGTCCTAAGGCATCCATTAAGGAATGAATTGAACTTTTCTCCAGTGCATTTAGAATGGTTCTAGTTATGTATCTTTTTGGGGACAGTTGAGAAAACAGTAGATTCAGATGAATTTCAGTTGAGAATGTCTGGGTAGGGGATCAGAGAATACCTGTTATTACTATGTGTGAGATCAGTTCAAAGTGCCATGACTTTAAGTCCTTGTTGATACCAGGAGAAGGAATCCCCTTAAGTAAAAAACCCCACCCTTTAGTGGTATTGCTGTAATGAACATTTGACCTGTGTTTTAGTGGGTTAGCTTCATCAGGAAAACAGTGGAGGCATTAGGATGCCTCACCCTGAGGTTTAGGGAGCCAAGGGATGAATCTTATTATTTGAAACACTTGACTTGGTTATACTTCACATGGACTTAATTTTTTTAGTGTGTATAATAATGTGTTCATTCAGTTACAAATTATACAGATATTTGGGCATATATAAAGTAATTCCACCTGAAAATTGAGAAAAGGACTATGTTTAAATGGAAAGTTCTTACTGTAATTTTGCAAAACTGTTTTAACTGTTATATGTATTAATGTCTCCTAATGAGAAAATATGGTGCTAATAAGATTGACAATTATTCTGTCAACTCTCATGTAATTTTTAGAAAATGAAAACCTAAATAGTAGCCCCCCTTTTTTAAAATCTAGAAGTGTAGCAAGTAGAATTGTTAGCAGTTCTGTCATAATGAATTGCCAAATTGAGTGAGTAGGTTTTCTGTGTTGGATTTTTGTTTTACTCTCTTTTGGACATGTATTTTGCGGTATACAATTAATTTAAGAGAAGTGCCTAATGAAATTTAAGAGAAGTGCTGAGTTTAGTTTGCAGCAATTTCCTAGAGTTGAGTTGCTGGATAACAAGATATGGTTATAAGTTATATAGAAATTTTTAGGTGAAGTAGGTCTTGTTTTTGTTATTCTTTTCAGACTGGTGAGTTGAATATTATTAAAATGAACATAAATAAGCCTTTTGGCAACTGCTAATGTTGTCTATCACCATTGTATTAAAACATATTTTTAATGGTGTATAGCCTAATATTCAGAAACTTTCACTAACATGGTGTCTTAGAATTCATTCGGCTTTATTTTATGTCTACGTTTTTTCCACTATCAAATTGCTAATGTTCATAAAAGCAGTTAGAATGAATGGGAAAATAACCTTTACTGATCTAGCAAGAATGGGGGAGGTGAACTGGACTATAAAAATACATCAATGAATGGAAATTATTTCTGGAGAAATCATTAGACTTCTATAATGTGCCCATCAGTCTAGAAGTGAAAATGCAAAATGAATTAATTGAAGACAACCAACCATTTGGTTCTGGGTTGCTTTTGGCCTCCTAATTGTCTTGAGCTTGTTTGGGTGTGGTTTACTCTGAGTGTTTCAGTAGTCTGATTGCTATGCAGCTACCTCCTGTTACTTGTGAAACATGTTCCCTTGTAGTAAAGAGTGTGGCTTATCTCTTAAAACTGAGTGTGTTGGGATCACCAGATGGCATAATGGTTAACAATTGCAGTTTGTGTCTAGGACCTAGCTACTTAAAGCTCATGCAGGGCACATGTGTGTACATGCCCAAAATCCCAAGAGGGGAATGGAGGAAAGGGATTGCGGCATGGTCATCCCCACCTGGGGGTGATTTCTCACTTTCTGTCTCTGTCTAACCACAGGTGCACGTACCCTACATCAAAAATTTCTCTTGGGAACCAGCAGTTAGTGTAATGGCTATGTCGCTGCACTCCCATGTAGTCGACCGCGGTTCCCGTCCCGGACCCGGTGGCTTAGAACTCACGCCAGGCGGATTGCCATTACGCCAACTGCTGGTCCTATGAGTTCTGTATTTCTAAGATTTATTTTTCAAATACGTGTTCTTATGCTGTTAGATTATTTTCATAATAAATATTATTGAGGGGCCAGCAGCTGGTGTGATGGTTAAGGCACTGAACTCCCACATGGCTGACTACAGTTTGAGTCCCAGACCTTGCTTTCTCTTGCTCTTTCTTTCTGTGTCCCTGTCTGGTCAAATTGAATAATAATAATAAATACAGTGAAATAAAATAATCTTTTAAAAAAGAAAAATAAACCATTATTGAATTATCTGAGTCATTTTTTTTTTTTTTAGATTTTTGACATAGGTCCTGTGTGCTCACCAGAAAGGACAGAGACAGACAGATACAGAGACTGGAAAATGAGAACCCCACCACCACCACCACCACACACACACACACACACACACCCGGAGACATGGGCATGCCACATTCCCTTCTCCATTCTCCTTTCAGTATCTTGGGCACACACACACGTGTGTCTGGCGTTTTTTTTCAATCTACCAGGTCTAAGACTGGACCTGTGGTTGGCTGTGTCAGCCACTGTAACCACTACAGCATGTGCCGGCTCCCAATCATTGCTTCTCAACAATATCTAGTGCCAAAATATTTGATTTGGGGAGGTTGTAATTTATTTACATACTATTCCCTAATGTGCTTTTATTTCATTGAAGACTTTTACGGGGAGCGGCAGAAGAATTTCTGCCTGCTAAGAAAAGTAACCCTTCTAATGATAAGAACTAAGTGGTTAATGTTTCTCACTTGTAATCCCATATGTCTTTAAATAGTATAGGAGATAGCTTATGTTTTGCTGTGCTAAAGTGTGGCCTCTGTCATGGAAGTTTCTGCTTTGGGAATTTTTGGAAGTGTTCTTGACTGGAAAGTGGACTGGAGGGAACGAAGGGATGTGTCGCATAGAACATCTATCATCTGAGAGTTGCCTGACCTCTGTACCTGGTACTTTGATGCTTTGCTGGCTGCTGTAGCCTAAGGGAGTAAGCTCTCTGTCTTACTAACTGCTACTGTTTCCAGAAAGTCTCCTACCCCCTTCAGTTGGATTGTTTCACCTGCTGACCAGAAAATAGGTTCTTATTTCTGGCTCCCAGTAGCATTAATTAGAAATCCACTTTCTCCATATCTGTTCATCGTTTGTTTTTTGTAAGGAGAATTGCCTTAATTTTACACATATTTCATATACTGGTATATATGCAATTAGGTATATGGGCAAATAAGTTAAAAGAAGTGTAGAGACCGCTTTATTTAACAAGTACTCCTTAAGTTTTACCTTGTTGTGAAAATATTTTTAAGAACTATTGTTTATTTGAAGTGTTAGCCTGTGTTTTACTTTTGCATGTACTTGACTGGTTCCACATTTATCTAAGTGTTTAGAAACACAAAAACAGCTCTGTGTGTGAACAAAGGATTCAGAAATATTTTGGTTTTTGATTGTATTCATTTTCTATGCTGCTTATTAACAAGTTACATTTAGCTGCTTAAAGCAACACATTTATTATCTTAATGTTTCTGAGTCTAGAGGCTGGGCACAGCTTCATTGGCTCCTATGCAAGGCTAGAATCAAGACTTTAGCAAAGACTAGGTTGTTAATCTAAAGATTGCTTGAAAGGGTCTGCTTCCAAATTTCTTCAGGTTATTGAATTCATTTCCTTGTAGTAATTTGCACCATGGACATCTTGCTTTTTGAAAGTCAATAAAGGAAAAGAAAGACTAGCAAGTTGGACTGGTGTTGTATTCATGTAATCATCTACATATGATCATATTGCTGCATTCCATGGTTAGAGACAAGTCATAAGGGAGGTTCATACTCAAGGAGAGGGAATTACAAAAAGGTTTAAATACCAGGATGTAGCAATCAAGAGCAGTTAGCCTATAGTCTGTCTTCCAAATCAACAAAACATGTAGGGGTTTTGTTGTTGTTTGTTTGTTTGTTTTTTGCCACAAAGTACATGTGCTTGCTAGAGAGAGAAAGAGAAAGGGAAGATGAGAAATCATACCCTAGTAGGGATGGCCACACCATAATCTCTTCTGTTCCATTCCCCTTTTAGGATTTTGGCACATAGGCACGTGTGCCTGGCATGTTTGTCAAGCTGATGGTCTGGGACTTGAGCTGTGCAGTCAGCTATGTGAGATCTAGCACCTTAACCTCCATGCCCCCTGTTGGCCCCAAACATGTAACTTTTAACTTAATTTTAAACTCATTTTTAAAGTTATAATGATGCATTTGGTAACTAGTATTCGTAAACATGGGCATTGTAGGTATTAAAATGACTAATGTGGGGCAT